TGTGCCGAATTGGGTGTGCGGGACGCATGCGGGCGGCAACACTGGGGCCTTCGGATGGGGCCACGAAACGTGTGAGGGGTGTGCCGAATTGCCATGGGTGACACATGCTGGGGCCTTCGGTGGGGCTCCCTATGGGGCCACGAAACGTGTGAGGGGTGTGCCGAATTGGGTGTGCGGGACGCATGCGGGCGGCAGCACTGGGGCCTTCGGTGGGGCTCCCTATGGGGCCACGAAACGTGTGAGGGGTGTGCCGAATTGGGTGTGCGGGACGCATGCGGGCGGCAGCACTGGGGCCTTCGGTGGGGCTCCCTATGGGGCCACGAAACGTGTGAGGGGTGTGCCGAATTGGGTGTGCGGGACGCATGCGGGCGGCAGCACTGGGGCCTTCGGTGGGGCTCCCTATGGGGCCACGAAACGTGTGAGGGGTGTGCCGAATTGGGTGTGCGGGACGCATGCGGGCGGCAGCACTGGGGCCTTCGGTGGGGCTCCCTATGGGGCCACGAAACGTGTGAGGGGTGTGCCGAATTGGGTGTGCGGGACGCATGCGGGCGGCAGCACTGGGGCCTTCGGTGGGGCTCCCTATGGGGCCACGAAACGTGTGAGGGGTGTGCCGAATTGGGTGTGCGGGACGCATGCGGGCGGCAGCACTGGGGCCTTCGGTGGGGCTCCCTATGGGGCCACGAAACGTGTGAGGGGTGTGCCGAATGGGTGTGCGGGACGCATGCGGGCGGCAGCACTGGGGCCTTCGGTGGATGGGCGCGTCCCGGGACGCATGCGGGCGGCAGCACTGGGGCCTTCGGCGGAGCTCCCTATGGGGCTACGACGCTGTACTGGGCGGGTGAAACGCAAGGAAGAGGGGGATGAGGGAGGAGGAGGGGGAGGAGGAGGAGAGGAGGAGACGCGGGGCACCGTCTCTTCAAAACGAGGACCCAACACCACAGGATGGTTGGGAAAAAAACGAGTTGGACATGTTTCAGAGGTTTTCCCCCCAGGAGCCTGGGGTGGCCTGAGAAACCGCCAAAAAACTGCCGAACAATATCCGAGTTGAGTTTTTCATTTTGCCCTGGAACGAGGGGTGGCTGGAGACCCCCAAAAACATATATATATATATATATATATATATATATATATATAGATATATATATATATATATAACAAAAACAAAAAACGAGCTGTGTTTAATTGTTGTTTTAGGGGACGCAGAAATATGATTGTTGGGGTTGTGGGGCCCTGGACCCCAACGAGAAACACTGGAAAAACCCTCGAGTTGAGGAGTTTTGCTAAGGTTTCCCCCCCGGAGCCTGGGGTGGCCAGAAAACCCTCGAAAAAACTCTTAAGAAAAAGCGTAGACAAGAAGCCTGGAGTGTCCAGAGAACTCCCGAACAAAAATCCTAGAAAAGGTTTTCGGATGTGTCTTAATGGGGTTTTCTGAAATAGCATGTTTTTGTAAGGTTGCCGAGGTTGTGGGTTTCTCTGGGGGGTCCCCCCCCCGGAGCCTGGGTTGGCCGGAGAACCCCTGAAAATCCATAACAAATTCCCGAGTTGGGGGTTTTGTCGAGTGCTGTTTGGTTGAATGCGTTTTCTTATCTGTAAATATGGGGCCCTGGAAAGCCTCGCAAAACAACAGAAATACCTAGAGTGTGGGTTGTTGTTTCACTACCTTGCCCCCGCGGAGCCTGGGGTGGCCGGAGAACCCCCGAAAGAACCATCCAAAAACCACCGAGTAAGTGGGTTAGTCTGAAGAGTTGCCCCCCGGGGCCTGGGGTGGCCTGAGAACCCTCCAAAAACAGACGAGCAGAAGCTCGAGTTTGGTTTTTTGTATCATAGTCTCTCGGGGAGCTCAGGAATCGTTCTGCAGTCGTGGTGTTTTCATTGTGGGGCCCAGGAGGCCCCCGAGAAACACCAGAAACACATCCGAGTTGGGACATGTTTCTAGGATGTTCCCCCCTGGAGCCTGGGGTTGCTGGAGAACCTTCAAAAAAAAGAACAGATGTCAGTGGTTTGTCTGTGGTTGTGGGGTGGGCTTCTCAGAAAGAATAATACTGGTGATAACAACAATACGAATAACAATACGAATCAAGAAAACATTGCGAATATCAGTCATACAAAAATAATATGAACAATAATGCGAATACTGGTAACAATGATAATAATGGTTATCCGAGCACATCTTTAAACAAAAAAGAAAAAGACAAACAAAACGAATGATTATACTGCTTTTGATTGTGGGGCCCTGGTGACCTCCGAAAAAAGCAAAAAGGAAAAAACGAATTAGAAGTTTCTTTTCTGGGTCTTGTTTTTACGTGCGGGGCCCCAGAATTCCCGCGGAAAAGTATAAGACAAACAAATCCGAATTGGGTTCTTTGTTGGGCTTTGCCCCCTGGAGAAGCACCCGAGCAAATCTAGAGAAGAAGCCTCGAGAAATCCGGAAGCATGCGAAAACAGAACCGAACAGGGGGGGGCTTCCAGGGAGTCGGGGAATCCCCCCCCGAAAATGCAAATGCCGCTTGGCCGACCGATGAGGGACCGATGAGGGCGGTCCCATCCGATTGATCAGAAACAGCTGGTTCCCCTTCAATCGGCAGTGGACAAACCTCCCTTGAATAAACCTCCCTTTCGTGAACACGGCCTGGGACCGAAGCCGACGGACTTGCACCCGCAAAAACGACGGCCGCGACGCCCTCTCGCGAGCCGGAAACGGCCAAATTCCTGAATCGACGTGTCAGGGTACACCCTGCGAAATGCTTTAGAAATCATGGGTTAAGAAATTGAGAGTCTCAGAATTCAAATAAAAACCCAGAATGTCCATTCAAATCTTAGGATTTACATTGAAACATTAAGAATAATCGAGATTCTGGCCGAAAACTTAGGTTTTCTTAAGCATCGCCTAAGGTGTAGGAGCTCTGTCCACCTCCGACTCAACGTCGACGCTCTGTCCCCGACATCGCAGAGCTCGTGTGCGGAACGGCACGGGGCGCACGTCCGGCACGAGAGGGGCGAGCGGTCGCTCTCGCCGAAGTGGCGTTCCCGCTCGGGCGCAGCGCGCACTCTTCCCTCGCCACGTCGCTTGGTCCGGCGCCGCACGCCAGCCAGCGAATCGCCGCCATCGCCCGAGCTCCCTGCAGAGTTCGCCTGGAAGTGGCGTTCCCGCCTGGGCGCGGCGCTTTTTGGTTCCGTCTGCCGAGACGCAGGAGAACGGCAGCCGCGCGAGAGAGGGGGCGCACGCTGCTATCGCCCAAGCGCCGCGCAGAGTGTGCGAAAGCTAGAATGTGTTTTCTGGGTACGGCGCATGCTTCTTCTTCTTCGCCACGCTCATCGGCAATCTGGCCACCCGAAAGAAGCCCAAATGGGCAAACTTAGCCTTCTTTCGGGCGGTGCCGCGGCGGTGGTGCTCTCGCCGCAGCGCCGTAGGAGGAGGAGGAGGAGGAGGAGGAGGAGGAGGAAGCAATATCTGAAAGTTCGGTTCCATGCGGTGTTCCCCTTCGCCAGTGTGTGGGTCGCGGTAGGGCGCGCGAGTGCCTTCCGTTCGCTCGGCAGAAGCGCCTGCCAGTCCCGATATCAAGTTGAGCCACAAGCTTGACCCCTCCTCCTCCTCCTCGTTCTCCGCCTCCGCCTCCTCACCACCACCCTCATGCACTTGTGTCCTGATTCGGCGGAGATGTGGTTTGAAACTTGAGCCCCCGCTGGATGCTTGCGCCACGCCGTCCGACGGAAACCCCCGAGCCAAAAAGTCCACCACAAGTACAGTGGTCGGAAAGACCAGCCTGCATGGAAACGCAATCCCACAGCATGTGCTGCGGCGATTATTTGGACGGAGCGCAAGCTTCTCGACGATGCGGATGACTGTCTGCGCCGGCGAGCATGTCCGTCGAAAGATGTCTTGGCGACGCTCCAACAGACATAATTTAGAACACGTGTCCGCCAACAGCTCGAACGCCGCAGCCTGCAGCGAGAGGGAATCAACTCCAGATGTCGTTCCAGGACCCGTCGGTGTCGCGCCGTGGTGTCCCGTCGGCGGCCCGGGGTGCCCCGCCGTTGTGACCCGTCGGTGTCCCGTCGGTGCCTCGTCGGTGCCCCGTCGGTATCCCGTCGGTGTCCTCAGCTGGTTCTGTCCCCACCCCTCCTTATCACCCAAAAGGTGGTCTTGCAGCGTATAGATACAACGCACCACCTTTCGAAATGTCTTCCTCCTCCTCATCCTCCTCGTCATCATCATCTCATCAGCATCATCATCATCAGCAGCATCATCATCATCCTCATCATCGTCATCGTCATCAGCATCATCATCACCACCACCACCACCATCAGCATCATCATCAGCATCGTCATCATCATCATCATCATCATCATCATCATCCTCATCATCATCATCAGAATCGTCATCCGCATCACCATCATCACCATCACCACCACCACCAACATCATCATCATCACCACCATCAGCATCATCATCATCATCATCATCAGCATCATCATCATCATCATCAGCAGCAGCAGCAGCAGCAGCAGCGACATCATCATCAGCAACATCAGCATCACCATCACCATCACAACCACCACCACCATCATCGTCAGCAGCAGCAGCAGCATCAGCATCATCATAATTGTCATCAGCATCAGCATAAGCATCAGCATCATCAGTATCAGCATCAGCAGCATCAGCATCATCATCAGCATCATCATCACAACCACCATCACCATCATCATCATCATCATCAGCAGCAGCAGCATCAGCATCATCATCATCATAATATTCATCAGCATCAGCATCAGCATCATCAGCAGCAGCATCAGCATCATCAGCAGCAGCATCAGCATCACCATCACCATCAACATCATTGTCATCATCCTCCTCTTTCTCCTCGTCGCCCTCCTCCCCTACCCACCCGCCAACCTCATTCTCCTCCCCCCACCCGTTCCTGCTCATGCTCTGCGCCCTTTCCATCCTTGTCGTCTTCTTATCTCTTCTCCCTCCCCTCCTCCCTGGGTGCCCCACGAGCCTGCAACAGGCAAAGAACTCCTCGCGCCCCAGCGGGTCCTTCAGCTCTGGGTTCCCCACCTGCAGCACCTCCTCGGGGCACCAAGAGCTAGTACAGCGCGCCCTCCAAGCCCTTCTCCTCCTCCTTCCCCTCCTCCTTCTCCTCCTCCTCCTCCTCCTCCTCCCTCCCTCCCTCCCGCCCTCCCTCCCTCCCTCCCTCCCTCCCTCCCGCCCTCTCCCTCCCTCCCTCCCTGCCCTTCCTCCCTCCCTCCCTCCCTCCCTCGCCACGAAAACGCGAGGAAACTTGCAGCGCGCGGGGCCCCCGTGCCAGAGGCTCAGAGCCCGCCGCCCCCCGCCCTCCCCCTTCCAACGCTCTCCTGCAGCACGCGGTCGGGCAGCCCACTGGTACCTCCAGGAGTGCGCAGGGCAGGGCCGCGACGGGGACGGGGTCCGAGGGTGCGGGGCGGGGGCGGGCGACGCTGGGTGGGGCGGGGGGGACGAGACGAGAGACGACAAGGCGCGGCAGTGCGCGCGGGGGCGCGGCCCGAATTGAGAGCGCAGGTGTGGGTGGGGGGAGGGGGGGGTCATCGAGGGCGAGCTGGGGGGGGAGACGGGGGTGGAGGGGTGTGCAGGGACGGGGGGGGGCGAAGGGAGGGGGGGAGAGGAGCCGAGAGGGACGAGTGGTCGAGGGGTGCAGAGGGAGGGGGGAGGACGCGACGAGGCGGGGAGGGGGGAGGGACCAGCCTTCCTCCCTCCGTGAGGCTCGGCTGCCCCCCTCGGCCGAACTGCCGAGCTCGCTCTGAGCGGCCAGCCGCCTCGAAGCTTGGCGCAAACACTGTGCCAAGGGAATCGAGTGTGAGTGCGTTTGTGTGTCATTCCTCCGCTTCTCGAAGCACGCTCCAAGGGCGTCCCGACTGGAGCGGCCCCCGATGGGGGAAAACCGAACGCACAGGGGCGGGGCGAGGGCTGTCCGATCCTGTCGGCGATGACTGGGCGAGTGGAGGAGGAGGAGGAGGAAGAGGATGACCCTGGGCCCATCCCCGTCCCTGGTGGCCGTCGGGTCATAATTCGGACCTCCAGCGGCCGTTCTGGACCGTCAAGGCACCCCTGGAAAGCTCTCGGCGAGGCACAGCCCCGCTGCGAGGAATCCCGAGACTGGGAAACGCCGACGAGAGCCAACAAAGGCGCCCGGAAACCTGAACCTCGAACCGAACCTCCATCCCCCCTGAGCCGATCCTGGAGTAGCAGAAAAGCATGAACAGAGGCTTCAGGAGATCCGGGCGGATCTCTTGGATCGGCGCTGTCGGGGGCGGCCAAGAGGGGGGCGTCCAAGAGGGGGTGCGCAAAGCATGGCCGGCGGCACGTGCGCGGCCCAGGGGGGACCAGGGACGTGACGAAATACGAAGACGCGCCATGCAATCGGGGAAACATCATGGCCCGCGCCATGACATCCCCCCCCCTGGTCATCGCCCCCCTCTCTGCCGCCCGGGGCGCGCGGGCGGCCAGGGACGTGATGAAATAAGAGGAGGCGCCACGAAATCTGGGGAAATATCATGGCCCACGCCATGATATCCCCCCCCCTAGTCCTCAGCGCTCTGGCGCAGCAGCCGCCCCCGAGAGGCAGAGAACACCTCGCCCCGCGATCACGAGGAGGAGAAGAAAAGGGGAGGGAGGGGAAGAGGGGAGGAAGAGTCGGCGGTGGACAAACCTCCTTTTAGTAAACCTCCCCTTAGTGAGAACGGCCTGGGACCGAAACCGACGGACCTGGACCCGCGAAAGTGGCGGCCTCGACGCCCCCTCGCGCACCGAAAACGGCCAATTCGCTACTCGACGTGTCAGCGTAGGAAGTCTGTCAACCTCCGAGGGTTTACCTTCGTCGATGGAGGGCATCCCGGGGCAGGAAAGCAGACGACAACCGGCAAGCACGTCCAGCGGCCTCGGTTCTAAAACCCCGAAGGACCCGAGGAACGCGTCGCCCTGACCCCCCAGGCGTTGCCCGTGGCTTTCCCAAGCGTTGCACCATCCGTCTTGGTCACCGTCGGTTCGTGGATCTCCTCGCGAATCGGCGACGGCCGGCATACACCATGACCAGCGCCGACAAAATCCCGCGACGTCTTGTTTAGACGTCCGACATGGGTACGGAACAAAAATGGACACGATGTCCAACAGCAACTGCGGTACAAAACCAACAGCGACCGCTGTTGGGCAGGCAGCCTCCTGTCTCGAATGGGCAACGTCCATGGCGACACCGACCGCGAGTCCTGCTCAACATGGGCAGGAACTGCTGTCGGCCGTCGTCTTACCCATGTCGACCGTCCCGATATTGGCCATGGTCAGCGTGCCTCTTCCCCAAACTTGTTGCTCCCCTTTCGTATTACCCATTTCGACCGCCCCGATCTTGGTCACGGTCAGCGTGCTCCTTCCCCCGACTCGCTGCCCGCAGACCGTCCCCTAGATGGAGCCCGAGGAGATGGGGTCGGAGGGTCGCGCCGCATTGCCGATGCATCGGCGATGCATCGGCGACGTCGGCGTGGAGAAAAGCGGGCTCCACATCGAGCCGCATCGGCGATGCATCGGCGATGCGGCGCGATCCTCCAGCCCCACATGCTCGGACCCCATCTGGGAGGCCTAGATTCCCCCGACTCGTTGCCCCCGACCCCTCCCCCTCGATCGACCGTTCCGACCTGTATTACCCCTTTCGACCGTCCCGATCTTGTTCACGGTCAGCGTGCTTCTTGCCCCAACTCGCTGCCCGAAGAGGAGGAGTAGCAGGAGGACGAGGAGGAGGAGGTGAAGGAGGAGGTGGAGGAGGAGGTGGTTGAGCAGGAGGAGGAGGAGGCGGAGGCAGAGGGGGAGGAGGAGGAGGAGGAGGAGGAGGAGGAGGAGGAGGAGGAGGAGGAGGAGGAGGAGGAGGAGAAAGAGGAGGAGAAAGAGGAGGAGGAGGAGGAGGAGGAGGAGGAGCAGGAGGACGAGGAGAAGGAGGAGCAGGAGGAGGACGAGGAGAAGGAGGACCCCCGCAGACCGAGGAATGCCAGCAGCCGCGCGGCGCCGCAGACGCCGCGGGGCGGCTGGCCGTCGGGCGCCCTCGGGCGCCCGCGGCCCAGGGCCTCCTCGTAGAGCCGCGCGTACGCCGCGCGCTCCTCGCCCGTCCAGTTCTCGGGGAGCGACGTGTCCTGAGGTCGGGATTCCGGGGGGAATAGGACGCACAAAGACGTACTGGTACTATATGTTCTCCTTGGAGACGCGCGTCCGACCCAAACGTATAGTATACCCATCTTGTAGTATATCGTTTCCCGAGCGGTGTGGCCAGAAAGCGCTCGCCACCACGCATATACTACAAGATTTCTCGGTGCGCGCATCGCCCCTGAGGGAGCGGCGCACATACAGTATAAGTATGTTGCAGTGACGCCGAGGGAAGACGAGGCACCGATGCTCCGCTGCCTCTGTAGCTCGTGCTTCGCTGCTGTGGGCCTCCCGGGAGGCTCTCGTCGCCAGAGGCGGGGTTCGCCGCGAAAAGTCCTGGTCAGAACGCGCCCAGGGAGAGGTATGGGGAGTAAAGGTATCGTGTTTCCCTCTGGCTTTCCCAATGAGGACGTAGAGGCCTCCCAGATGGGGTCCGAGTGGATGGGGTCGGAGGGTCGCGCCGCATCGCCGATGTATCGGCGATGCATCGGCGATGCATCGGCGACGCCAGCGTGAAGAAAATCGGGCTCCAAATCGAGCCGCATCGCCGATGCATCGGCGATGCGGCACGATCCTCAGACCCCATCTGCTCCGACTCCATCTAGGAGGCCTAGACGGTATCGCTGCCTTTAGCTCGTCTTCGCTGTTGTGGACCTTCCGGGAGGCTCTCGTCGCCGAGGCTGGGTTCGCCTCGAAATCCTGGTCAGAACGCGCCATGGGAGAGGTCCAGAGAGTAGCGGTATCGGTTCCCTCGGGCTTTTCCCCAGTGAGGACGAACACTCCTGGAAGGTTTTCGTTGGGAAGTGTTGGCGTCCTGAGGTTTATCGAAGGAGGGTCGGCGAGTCGAAACGGTGGCGGCCCTTCATGGCGTTGTCGGCTCTCTATGGGTCGCCGCCACGGCTGGAAAGGCGTTGAAAAAACGGGACAGGATGGACCCCGGGCTTGCACCGCAGAGGCCACATAGGTTGCATCACACAGCTTACACATCCACCGAGCAATAGCTCGCAGTGTTGGGCCCACGCTGGCAAACATGGGTTAATCCAGGCCTTGAGGATCTCCTCTTGCCCCCTCCTCCTACACCCTCCTGCCTCCTCCTCCCCTTGCCTCACCCATCCTCCTGCCTCCGCCTCTTTTTGCCTCCTCCTCAACATCCTCCTCCACTTCCTCCTCCTCCTCCTCCTCCTCCTCCTCCCCCTCCTCCTCCTCACCCTCCTCCATTCCTTTTCCGCATGGGTACCTCCTCCTCCTCCTCCTCCTCCTCCTCCTTCTCCTCCTCCTCCTCCTACTCCTCCTCCTCCTCCTCCTCCTCCTCCTCCTCCTCCTCCTCCTCCTCCTCCTCCTCCTCCGCATGACTCCTCCTGCCTCCTGCCTCCTCCTGCCTGCTGCTTGCTGGCTGGTCCTGCTGCTGCGCCTCCTTATCCTCCTTCTCCATGCATTACATTTCCCCTCCTTCTCGTCCTCCTCGTCGTCGTCGTCGCCTCCTCTTCCCCCTTGTTCCTCCTCCTCGTCCTTCTACTCCTGCCTCCTCCTTCTTCACCTCCTCCTCCTCCTCCACCTCCACTCTTTTTCCTTATACATAACTTCTCCCTCTCGCACCCCGAAGCAATCTTTTAGGGCGGGCCGGGCGTTTCGCCAGAGACTTCCTCACCACTTATGACTCTGAAGCTTGAAAAATCGCAACAGCTTCACAGATGGAGGGCGGGTGGTTTTCAAACTGTGGCTCTCGCCTTAGCGCGGCGTACATTCGTGTTCAACATGAGCAAGAGTTTCATGGATTGGAGGTGGGTGGTTTTCACAATGTGGCTCTCGCTTTAGCGCCGCGCACATTCGTTTCAACAAGTTGCAAGAGCTTCACGGATTGAGGGCGGCTGGTTTTCAAAATGTGGCTCTCGCTTTCACGCCGCGCACATTCGCTTTAATCATTTGGAAGAGTTTCACGGGTTGATGGCGGTTTCTTTACAACATGTGGCTCTCGCCTTAGCGCCGCGCACATGCTTGTTACACAATTATAGGGGCTTCACGGATTCCCATGATAGACGTACCAGAAATGGTGTTTGGACGGATTCACGATTATGAGGGCGCGACAGTTACGATGATTCGCGGTGTTGGAATACCGACAGTCATGTTTTGACATGCTTCAGGGTCTGCAAACGGTTGCCTTCCAACGAGGCAGGTCCCTCTGTGGAAATGAATCGTTGTATGGGCCTATGAAGAGGGAGCTTGGGGAAGGGTTTCTTCCAACATCGTTGGTGACTCTTGGGTTTACACTGGTCCTCCTCCTCCTCCTCATCCTCCTCCTCTTCCTCCTCCTCTTCCTCCTCCTCCTCCTCCTCTGGCCTCCTCTTCCTCCTCCTTGGGCCTCCTGCCTCCTCCTAGGGCCTCCTGGAGTTTCCCGGGGCGTCATGGAGCATGATTGGGCTCTCGAGGTCTCCTGGGGCACTCTTCCTGTTCCTGCTCATCCATCTTATTCTCCTAATCCCACCTTCTCAGCATCATCATCATCATCAGCAGCAGCATCATCATCAGCAGCATCAGCATCAGCGTCATCATCATCATCATCATCATCATCATCATCATCATCATCATCATCATCATAATCATCATCATCATCATCATCATCATCATCATCATCATCAGCATCATCATCAGCATCATCATCATCATCCTCATCCTCATCATCATCATCATCATCAGCAAAGGCCGCCGCGCGCTCAGGCCATTGATGGAGCAGCGGCCTCCAGTCACCGCCCCCTTGCCATGCCCAAAAGGCAGAGGGCCGCTTGACGACACCCCGCACACCGCCAGGCCGCCATGGCCGTGCTCCGGAGCGCGGGCGCCGCGCACCTGCTGAGCACAGGACTCGCTACGCTGACCCTGAACTACTGGACGCTGAGCTTCAACTTCAACATCATCACGAACACAGAGGGCCAGCACAGGCACACCACGCGGCCCATGAATTGCCACAAGTGGAACAATTGCACGCTGAACGTGACTGGCCACATGGACTACCCCACCCAAATTGCGAAGGACTACTGGACACTGAAAATCAACTCCAACATCATCACGAACATAGAGGGCCAGCACATGCAGGATTACAACACGCTGACCCTGAACGACTGGACGCTGAACTCCAAATCCCACCAGCCCTCTGGGCGTAGGTGGTCTAGAGCAGATCCTCTTCCACCCCTCCCTCTTCCCCCTTGGGGAGGGGTTTACCCCTCCCCCTACCCCCTCCCCTGGACCTGGACGGGGGGGGCCGCGGGTAGTTAGAGCGTCCCAGATGGCCCAAGACGGCTCCAAGAGCGCCTCAGAGAACCCAAGATGAGCTCCAAGATGGCTCAAGATAGCGCAAGATCGCTCGAGATGGCTCCTAAGATGGTTCCAAGAAGCCCAAAGACGGCCCCAAGATAACTCCAAGTGGCCAAACAGCTCCCCAAGGAGGCCCCGAAGAGGCCAAAATCGTCCCAAAACCTAAGGAAAATCAATGATTTTTGCTTTCTCGCCTTTTCGCTTCCGATGGCCATCCGAGGCCTGGAGATGGTTCCAAGATGGCCCAAGAGGGCCCCAAGAGAGCCCCAAAAGAGCCCCAAGACGGCCCCAAGAGCGCCCAAGAGCACTCCAAGAGCGTTCCAAGAGGGGTCCAAGAGGCGATTTTAGGGGCTTCCGAGGGGGGACGCTAATTAAACCCCCCCTCTTGTTTGATCGATCTCCTCCAAGATGGCCCCAAGAAGCGCCCAGGAAGCCCCAAGAGGTCCCAAGATGGCCCCAAAATGGCCCCAAGAGGCCCCCAAGAGGCCCCCCGGAGGCCCCCAAGAGACCCCCAAGAGGCCCCAAGAGCCCCCCCAGATGCACCCAAGATGCTCCAAGAGGCCTCGGCGAGAATGCCTAATCATTGATTCTACACAGGTTTTAGCCACATGGAGGCCTCTTGGGGGGGGGCACGGATTAAGATGACTCCAAGAGCGTCTGGGAGAGCCCAAAATGACCTCCAAGATGGCTCAAGATATCCCAAGATGTCTCATAATGGCTTCCTCTGTGTGCTGCCCACTTCTCTGATCGAGGCAATTCCTCTGGGCATCGTTTCTGGATGGGCTGGTGGGGATTCGCGAAGCGACAACAATTCAACATCCTCACGAACACAGAGGGCCAGTACGTGCAGGACTAGACGCTGAGCTTCAAGTTCAACATCTTCACGAACACAGAGGGCCAGCACAGGCAGGACTACGACACGCTGACCCCGAACTACTGGACGCTGAGCTTCAATTTCAACATCCTCACGAACACAGAGGGCCAACACATGCAGAACTACACCACGCGGCCCCTGAATTGCCACCAGTGGAACGATTGCACGCTGAACGTGACTTGCCACATGCTGCTTCAGACGACGCACAAGACCAGGCTGAATGGCAGCAACAATACGGACACCTACACGATGAGGAAAGAGCTCCCAGGGATCATAGCCATCACGCAGGAGATCGAAGGGGCACACACGAGCAGCTCAGTAAGTCGCAGCATCGCAGTATCCAAGCGCCAAAGCCGCAAAATAGATATCGACAAGGTACGGCACCCCCCACAATCTGACCTACGGGGCGCGGGCGCCGTCGAGCTTCATCGAGGCCAGCTCCGGTCTCGACTCACTGCTGCGTATCCCCCACCGCGGCCGAACGGAGCAGGTCATTACCAACACTGGAAAGCAGGATGCCGCCGACCATGGAGCTGGGTACCGCAGGCACATACCGACATCCCTATTCGCGTCATGCCCATCCTATTCACGGACCTCAACCAAGGGCCAGGACGACGATCACGACAGCGCCGCACCGACAACGCAATCGGCAGCTACCAACCCAGCGACGAGACCGAGCTCGGACGCTTGATTCACGACAAGTTCCTGACGCACCAGCTGACAGCCATCAACATGCACATCGACGTCGGCAATACCTACTACGGGCACAACAAAGCCAGATCAAGCATCAACTACTTCATCGGCCAC